CACCCTAGCTTCAGACTTACTGGTCTGTCATGGAAAGAGGGTTGGGCGAATATTTCAGGGAGCACATTGCATGTGAGGGCAAGAGAAAAGGTTGCTGACCAAAAGGTCAAAAAGTGTCACTTAGCTATCAGGACATGCCTATTCAAAGTGCTCGACATCTAGTCAACCACCGGTATCCCCGTTCCCATGCACAAGCCTCCAGCGCCTGTTGACCGCAGCCGCGCGCGCCCGCAAAGTTCATTACAGCCCATATGCACATACGTTTCCATGACCATGTACTTGATTTTTTCCGTCACTTCCGAACTCATATTCCCATCCTGCCATCATTGCATCTGAACAAAGGAAAGGGAAAACAAAGGGAAATGGGGGGTGTAGTTTATATATATAAGAGGGAGAGAAGATGTTTCGGTATCAGCTCGACTCCATGCGAGCATGTTTTCAAACCTCGAAACCGACAGAGATAAGTCCCGTGCCGGTCTTGGGCTTCCTCGCATAACCATTCAGCATCCTCCACCCGGCGCCGCATCCACGTCCCTCCTCGACAATGGCAGCGACGCCCTCGACGCTCTTGCCGGCCTCCCGCATCGCCGCGCCGGCCGTCACCGTGTCCGCAAGCCGCAGCTCGCCGCTGACCTTTTCCATCTCGCACCGCAGCAGCCAGCGCTCCCAGCTCCAGCCGCCGACGATGCCCGTGACGTTGGCGACGCCATCCGTGCTGCCAGTGACCAAGGCCTCCATCTGCACCGTTCTGACCTCCTCGCCGTCGGGATTCTCCCGCACGGCGAGCGGGGGCAGCGAGGGCAGGGGTTTCTTCGCCTGCGTTTGTTGGGACTGAGGACGGGCGCCCATGGGGAGGCACATCCACGCGCGGCGGACCTCGTCGAAGCCCGCGCGCGAGAGGCGGCCGAGGAACATTTTTGTCGGGTTGGGGTCGTAGCCCAGCGTCTTGAGGTCGAAGCCGAACTCGACACTCTTTGCCAGGCCCATGGGCCCGGCGTTCATGATGTCCGAGTCGAGGACCGAGAACTCGAGGTATCCGCCGGGCTTGAGCACGCGCATGCACTCCTTGAGACACGTCTCCCACTCGTCTTCGCCGTTCTCGCCGACGAACTTGAGGATGCTGTGCAGCTCGCGCGCCGAGATGAGGTCGAACTGGTCGTCCTTGAAGGGGAGGCGGGTCAGGCGCTCGACGGCCACCTGGCGGTGATTGGGCGGGCCGCGGACGTTGGAGTTCGACAGCTGGCGGATCGTCTTTGTGGTGACGGTGTAGATCTTGGTGTTTGGGTACTGGAGGGCGCAGTGCCAGGCCCAGTCGCACGCGGACTGACCTCCGAGATCCAGGATGCGGGCTCTGTCGCGGGCGACACCGTCGCGGCCAGGTGCCATACGGGAAAGACGCCCGAGGCGCTTGGCGACGGGGGCGGAGATGAGCTTGCCGCCGTTGAGCATCTTCATGGCGGCGACGTGCCAGGTGGGCATGGCCATCTGAGACATGGCCTCGTGTTCCTTTTCGCGACGCAGCTTCTCGGGGTCGTCGTGGAGGATGTCGTCGCCGCGGGCAACATTTGCACTGAGGCGCTTCTTGGCGGACTGGGGCACAACGCTGAGCTGGTACTTGCCGAGCAGCTGGTTACGGTGGAACTCGCGGAGGCATACGCGCTGGGCCTGGAGGGCCTCGAAGCGAGGGAGCTGGTGGACGATGACGTCCTGCTTGCTGGAACGGACGACGTAATCCTGGAAGGCGCGGTAGTAGGCCGATTCCTGTCTGGAGAGCTTGGAGGGCAGACGGCGGGGGATATCGGTCTTGGAGACGACCTCGGAGAAGCGGACCATCTTCTTCCTGGGCAAAGAAGCAGGAATCTCTTGCTCAGGGAAGTGTTCAACTTCCTCGTCGGCAGCCTCGGGAATGGTGTCGAGGCTGTTGTCTTCCTCAGTCTCCTCTGCAGCCTCGACGGGCTTCAGGTATGCGCGCTGGGCCCTGAGCCAGAGCTCAGTGCGATCCAGGTTTGAGAGGGTAACCTCATGTTGCTTGCGAGCGTACTCGGGGTCGTAGACCGTCACAATCTCTGTCGGTACATCTTCGGCGTCGGGGGAGGTTGGCTCAGCAAGCGTTACCGATGAGCTTGAGGCGTTGGCGGGGACGATGGGCCTGGCAGTTGGCATGTCATCCTCATCCATCTCCTCATTGTCCACCTCGATGATTTGTTCTACAATTGCGGAAGCCGAAGGGACCGAGCTGCGGTAGAAGTCTTCGGCAGCATCGCTGATGATTAGCTTGGCTGGTGCTGACGGCACTGGGGGCACAGAAGCGTCCATGTTCCAGGGGCAGCGGTAGAACTGCTCGGCGGTAGTGGATGTTGGCGGCACCACATCTTCGATGTTTGCCGCGGGCATGTGCCATGTTGTCCTCGTCCTGGGAGATAGCCCAGAGAAGAAGCCGCCAGGGGAAGGGATGTCGAGTTTGGTGAGATCGGCCAGAGACTGACGGCGGGAGTTCGGGGTAAGGACGGCCGCGCGCGGTGCTTCGGGACGGATATCGGTGAATAGGCGCAGAGGCTGTTGGCGCATCTCGGGGATGGGCTCTTGGGGGATTTCGAGAACCTGGTCTGAGTGGTCATGATCGTGCTCGTGCAGGCTCTCGTTATCACCAGAGAGGGCGTGGAGAGTTGCCAACGCGCCGGGTTGCAATCGCACACCAGACCAGTCTTCCTCCTTCCCATTGTCGCTACCGATGATGGGCGTTGGCGGTGCTGACATGTGTGCCAACTGCTCTGAACTTAGGCTTCCATCGAGTGATGGTGGTGCCGAGATTGTAGGGATCTCTTGGGCCTGCTTCGCCTGCATGAATGAGAAGACCTGAGGAGACATCTCGACGCGAGTTGGCGGTGTTGGTGGCACTGGTGATGCGAGGGTCTTCTTGAGACTAGCAGCAGACCAATCATCCGTAGAAGTGTTCCGAGCGCCGGGAATGACGAGGGGAGGCAAAGCTCTGCGAGCACCAGTCGCGTTCTGCTTGGCCATCTCATTGCGACTAGAGTTGCGCCGCCTCACGGAGGCCTTGCGGGATGGTACTCGGCGCAGCGAGGCTGGCTCATCCTCATCGGTAACATCGTATAGGTCGTCAAACTCGGTGACATCGGTCATGACGCTTGATCTGTTGTTGTTCCACGGGTTTGAAGATGTTGAGGGAGAGCTGCTCTCATCGGCCGATACAGTTGATGGCGATGACGGCAAGATGGGAGCGGAGAGGAAGTGGAAGCCTCTTGGTGTGGGAAAGTGGTCGCTCAGGGGCGATAGCCAGGCCTCAATGTTGAGGTTTGATGTTTGGCTCCTAAGCTGCCTTTTGTCGGTGGCATACTGTACATCCTCGCTCTCCTCCTCCATTATAGTATTAAGTGACCTCCCCTGCCTCCGAGCCTGCGAAGGGGAGGGAGGTCTGTATGTCGATGAGGGTAAGTGAATAATCTCAGCCATTTTCCCCTATGCAGTCAGATATCCTGATATAGACTTGCGGTTCCTATGTGCTGTAACGGTATAAATATAGGCAAAATGCGACGTTGGGTGTCAAAACAGCTTTGGTCGTAAGACGGCCGGCGTCGTTGCGTTGGTGAATGTTATTATTTGAATGGTAGTAGGAAAATCGTGTAAACGACAGGCTGCCTCGATCAACGAAGCCTTAAAGGTTAGTTTGCAAACAGCAATGACACGGAGAAGGAGATGAGAAGAGGGAAAGGGAGGAATAGAGGAGGCTCGGCGGTTGGCCGGGGCCAAGTGATATACTCTGATGAGGCCTTGCTCATCATCAGTAGCATGGGCGGGAGGCGGCTAACTAGTAGGCCGCGCGAGTGGGTTGCGAAGTACGAACACGTTATGCGCACACACAAACGCACGACGGAACGGTGAGATGCGCACCCAAGACGGACAGCACAGCATCTTTGGAATGATGCATTGCAGTCAGTAGGTAGCACTTTGAATGCAGCGCGCCTGCTGCACACACTGCATTGGCCCGAATGGGGATGTGCTACCGGCGCATGGGAGGCAGTGATGAGGAGACAACGAGCACATCCCCGTCCGAAAAGGTTAATTCATCGAGCGACGAACAAGTCTTCTGGCCAATGGGCACCCAAGGAAGAGAATCTAATTTAAGCACATGGAAGAAGAACATGGCCTTTGTGAGCGTCCACGGCGTCGACTGGCTGGCGCGCGCGAAGACGGGAGGCGGGAAGGTGGGAGCAAGCTTGATTGGGGACGCAGAACTATCGTGCCACCGACCAATGATAATGACAGGCGCTCAGCGGGCGCTTAGAAGCGACCTGGATTGGATGGCTGGTCACTTGACGAAGCTACATCTAGTAGTTGAAAGGTCTCTGAGCTGGCCTTGCGGAGAACAAACTATTGACCGTCGCATGGAGCTCATACGGCCTCTTCATGCAAGAATGTGGTGAAATATCGGTCTTGACTGCTCGATCCGTGTAGCAGCGTGCGCCGAGCTCAGGCTTGGGCGTCAACGTTCTCATGCTACAATTTTCCGTTTCAGTCCCGCCACGAGCAAAGGCGGTGACCTCACCTTGAGAAACACATGAGGAGTGCTCCGTAGACCATGGCCGAATGCGAACGGCGAGCGGCGGGGGTGTTGATGCAGGTTGAATCACTTGCATGCCGAGTTCACGTCTTGTTGGTGATGTCTGTGGGGGAAGTGAATTGGAGCTTGACATTCCATGACAGCGCGGTCGGCGCCAGTCAACTTCCTTGTGGCTGGAGCTATGCCTACCTGCCCCTCCGACATCACTAGCCACATCAATTACCTAAGCAGAAAAGGTGAGGTGGTCTGCTGTGGCAGTTGATCCATTGCCCCGCCATCGAAATCAACCCCGCAGTCGGCCGTCCTTGGAAGACCGAGAAGAGAGAGAGGCACGCGTTCCTTAACTACTCGATTCCTCCGCTTCACATCCTTTCCGAGCGATCCTTTTTGCTGTCACAAACGGCCCTTTCAGATCGTGATGGCCGACAATGACAAGTCAGAAACCTCTGGTGAGCCTCAAGGCCGCCATGTAACCTACTGTGGTGGTAAGTCAACACGCCCAAACTTGACTTCCAGAAAATACAAATTCTCGAGGCGCGATATTGACCTGTTGCCCCACGTGTAGTCTGCACTCTTCCTCCAGAGGTACGTCATGGCTAATCGAAATGCCGCAAGCCTTCGGAATACTTATTGAAACTGCCCCGATTTAGTACTGTGAGTATGGAGGCACCGTAAAGAAGTGCCAGGACTGGCTGGAGAAGAAGCATCCCGACCTTTATGCGAGAATCTGGTCAGCAGGTATGAGGTCCCGCACCTCCAAGCCACTGGGACGAGATGCTCACAACTTCATCCACAGAGGCTCTTGAACAAGCAACCGCATCCCTTTCAGTAGACGCCCAGAAGCGAGCCGCCAAAGACGCACAGAAGAAGGCTGCCAAGGCCGAAGCTGCAGAGGCCAAGCAAGCCGACAAGTTGGCCAACAGCATGGTCACTATCAAGCGGATCGAGCGCAACAAAAGAAAGTACGTTACGTCAGTCTCTGGCCTTGAGTCATTCGGTCTCGAGAATAAGAAGGTTGCCAAGGAGTTTGGAAAGAAGTTTGCGACTGGCTCGTCCGTCACCAAGACCCCAAGCGGCAGCGAGGAGATTGTCGTTCAAGGAGATGTCAGCGACGAGATTGAGGAGTTTTTGTTGGAAAAGTATAAGGAGATACCCGAGGATAACATTGAGTTGGTCGAGGACAAGAAGAAAAAGGCTGCCCCGACAGCTTGAGCCTTGAAAGGCGTAATCCATCAATTGAGTATGCCTGGTCGTCATCATGTTTCTGTCATTATTCCCAATACGCCATGTAAATCCAATCCATAGTGATTATGCCCAAGTACGCCCAGCAAACGCCCCGCCACGAAAGTGACGGCATCAAGACAACGAATGGTTGCTCCTCTAAATCCTCGCAGACCTAACCCCTTTTCCGCAATACTCTAGTGGTACTCGCCGCAGATGCCGGAGCCGACTTGGGCGCTGCGGGCTTCCTGGCAGTTGCTGCGCCAACTCCCTTTCTGATTGTGCCCATTACGGTTCTCTTCGCGGGTGCTCCTGCTGCTGTCTTCTTGACTACTGTTCCGGTGCTGCCCTCACTCGAGTCGCTGACTCGCTTGCCCGTCCGCGTTCCAGGTCGTGACGGAGCTTTAGCTGCTGTGGTTGTGTTGGCTCGTCGCGTTCGTGTGGGAGGCGCCGTTCCCGTAGCAGGTGCAGGCGCCGATGCGTTCGAGCTGGCCGTTGATGCATTCAAAGGACGCGAGGGAGCTGTGCGACTAGTCTTCTTCGCCTTCTCCACCATACTCGACAGAGCTGACCGGGCGCTGTTATGTTGCTTAACGGGAGACGACGTCGGTCGCGCAATCTGGGAGGATTTCGACGGCGAGGAAGGCGGTCGCTCGCGTGCCAGCGATCGGGTGTTGGATGAGGTGGGCGACAGGACTTGCGACGAACTCAATGGCGCTGGGGCAGCACGGTGCTTCTTCTTGGGGTTGAGAATTTGCTCGTTTTCCTTGTCTCCGCCCGCGATAGCATCGCTGCAATATTGTGTCAGTGAGGCAAAATACCATGATTCCATGTGTAAACAAACCTCAAACGCTTGGCAGGGCGGGCTGGCGGTGCCAGCTTATGCGGGCTCCCCCGTGGTGGGAAGTCCTTCTCGGGAACAGGTGGCGGACGCGAAGCGGCCTCAAGACGTTTCTGTTGTTCGATGGCTCTAGCCACCAGGTCGGCCATGGTCATCTTCAACATGGCTCTGGGAACACGATTGACGCGCATCTGGATCCGTGATCGAAGGGTTTGTGCCTGCTGGTTGTATTGCGCGCGCAGTCGCCTGGCGCGATCGGTGACTATAGAATATTTAGATGACGCGGTCAAAAGCACAAAGGATTTACTGACTCTCCAACTGCAGGTTATCGATGATTGCCTGTTTTTGCTCCAGGGAGATTCCAAGTCTTTGCCGCTTGCTCGGGCTGCTGCTCAGCATTGGAGGCGTGCTAGCCTTGGCCGAAACCATTTGTCTCTGTGACATCGTCGACTGCTGCTCCATCTCATCAGAGTTTCTCTTGTTCGTTCGCGCGGGAGGCATGTCGTCTGCTGAAGATTGCTAGTCGTTGTGGGTGAAAGCGTTTGACGCTGGAGCAACGTGCCTGACCGCGACGGGAGTGTGAAAGTTGATGGAGCTAAGGATGATGGGGCGGAGGCTCTATTATGAGTGGCTAGTGCTCCAGAAAGTAAACAAACGTGACAGCGGAAGACCCTTACCTAAGCCAATGGGAGCTTGGCCAGTCCCGGCCATTCATGGATCTCCAAAGGGCCCACCTAAAATCGGCAGCCATACCTAGGTAGCCCTGTGTATTTCATGGGAGCAGGTGAAATCCGAATCCGTACAATCAGATGCAGTCCTATCAACGCGTCTAACTTATTTCCTGGAATCAGCACACACCGTCGAAGATCGCAGATACGAAGAACTGAAGAATCGTCGTTCGAACTTGGCATGGTGAGGTTTGTAAGAGTGCAGAGTACTCCGTACAGAGGGTCTAGTTTGGAACATCTATGGTAAGGTCTAGCGGAACGAGCGTGATGTATACTCGGATCTTGCCCTGCTGGGCTCATATTTACACAGTGTAACTTCCTGATACGAACGTTTGTCAAGGCGCTTGGCCCGGAGTCTCGATACTTACAATCACGCAACGACTCCCCTTACTCTCAGGTACCTCTACTCGTACCTCACGCAACCAGCATCGCCAGGCTGAACTGCCTTACGCAGGAGCTCTCCCACCCTGCCTACCTTAACCCACGTTGAACACCAAGCTTCCCTTTCCCATCTGAAGCTCGCACGATCAAACACCACTCAACACCGCCATCCTCGGACACTTTAGCGATTCCAACCTCGTCTACGACATCAGAAAATATTCGGACTCAGATTTCACATTACAACCTCCCTCCTGCAACACACGCCGGTGCCCCGCCCGAACCGTCAAGATGGTCCTCGAAGCGGTGATGGTCGTTGTCGACAACAGCGAAAGCAGTCGTAACGGTGATTACCAACCGACAAGATACGACTCTCAAGCGGACGCCGTCAACGTTATTTTCCAGACCATCACAAATGGAAACCCCGAGTCCTCGGTCGGCTTGATGAGCATGGGTGGCAAGGGCCCCGAGGTGTTGGTCACCCTCACGACAGATCAGGGCAAGATCCTGGATGGATTGCACCGCACGAAGACCAAGATCAAGGGAACATCACACCTTGCCACTGGCATCCAGGTTGCCGGCGTGAGTATAAACGCTGTCATCTTTGCCATCGAGCCTTTTGCTAACGTGTCCATCAGCTTGCCCTTAAGCACCGTCAGAACAAGTCCCAACGGCAACGGATAATCGTCTTCGTCTGCTCGCCCATCGAGGAGGAAGAGAAGAAGCTAGTTCAGCTGGCCAAGAAGATGAAGAAGGGCAACGTTTCGGTCGATTTCGTACTGTTCGGCGACCTGGACGACGACGACACGCAGAAGAAGCTGCAAGCGTTCAACGAGAGCGTCAAGGGTGGTGAGGGCTCCAACCTCGTCGTCATTCCCCCAAGCAGCAAGCTTCTTAGCGACCAGCTCATTTCGAGCCCGATCCTCCTCGGAGACAATGCTGGCGGAAGCGGTGGTGGCGGCGGCGGTGGCAGCGGCATGGAAAGTGGCGGCGGAGGCGGCAACTTTGGCGAGTTCGACTTCGACCCTGCCATGGACCCGGAGCTGGCACTTGCGCTTCGCATGAGTATGGAGGACGAGAAGGCGCGGCAGGAGAAGAAGGCTCGCGAGGAGGCCGAGTCCGGCCAGAAAGGATCTCTTGAGGACATTAAGGAAGAGGGCGAGGGTGCGCCTCTCCTCGGCAAGGATGGCGAGTCAAGCAGCAAGAAGGACAAGAAGGACGACGACTCGATGGACACTTCGTAAACAGATGTTTTGTGTTGTCTCTAACTCGTTCTTCGCCTGATCACTACCTCGAGTATGTAAAATAGAATATTGGCTTGGTCCTAGAGGAACATGCTGCTCAATAGAAGGGCCTCTGACTCCTGCAAACGCCGTATCGCAATGAGCGTTACCCAACCCAAACGAAATCAGACTCCCATGAATCATCATCTCCATCGCTTTGTCTATCATCCGTGGCGACGTTGCTCTGAACCTATCGATTGTTGATCTCCCGGATGTATGATAACAATTTCCGTTCAAACATCTCGCAGCGGATGGGCATTTCGAGCTGATAGAACGGGTTTTTCATGACGTAATCGCTGTAAAGGTCGTATATCCTCCGAAGCGTTACGTCGATGTTGGTCTGAGTCGTATCGGTGAAGAGCAGGAACTTTGTGCCTGTCATGGTGTTGAAGCACTGCAGCCTAAAGTTCTCCGTCTCCATGACCTCTAGTCCCGTTGGCGGCTCAGGCCGTGCAGGTATTCCGCCCGCCGCGGTCACGCTGGCTGCGGTTGCAGCGGCTGCAGCATCTTGCCGGCTCATCAGAGGGTTGAGCCGGGCGGTGATAGCATGGACGCTTTTGAACGTTGCGTAAGCATTTCCCCCTCACTATGAACGACTGAGGGCATTTGTGTTCTTACCCGTGGAACGTTCCTGCCAACACAAGATAGTCATTTGTCGTCAGTTGGTTGAGGCCGCCCTCGTGAAATGTGCGGTTGTAGATCAAGCCTCCGGCCTTGTTGATCACGATGAGCGCAAAGACGGTCCTGTCGCCGAGGTCAGTGAATGGCCTTCCTAACTTGGGGCCAGAGGGAGCTTACATAATTTCAGTAGTCGAACCAACTCAAAGCTGATGACTCTAAGGAAGGGAAATATGGTTATTATCTGAGATTGTTCTCATCGATGCGATATCTGAAGCATGCACTCATACAGTCGCTCTCGATATCCCCATCTGGCCTCAGGTTAGGTAGCTTAGGAGATGTGGGTGAGGGACCTGGTACTTCGTACCGGTCCTCTTGCCAGCCAGCCAGCCCAGAGAGGTATCTTCCGCACACCTCACCCTTTCCGCGCACACGAGTCCCAGTCGCTAAATCCACACCAAGCTCCCTGGATAAACGCCCCCCGCGCCCCTTCTGGTGCCTGCACTAGCCCCAAAAACAGTGGAAGGCGCGCTCGGTGGGACACATCCTCTTCTTTTTCCCCGACCTGGATCTTCCTGCACTGGGCGACAAGGCAAGCACCAGGGGTGGCATTCCCAAGACATAGCACCCGCCTTTGGGAAATTCTCAGCCTCATCTACAACCCACCTTCTTCTCACCTCCAGCTTCCGCCGACAACGGCTGCTCATTACCACACACCCCCGCGAATCCATTCGTCTTATCCAAATCCCCCGCAATCAACGCGACATCTGGTCCTTTGGCAAAGGGCCGACCCTCTGGTTCCTGAACAGCGCGAGCTTTTTGAACAGTTTCCCACTCTTCGAATCAACGACCACGAGTCGCAAAGAATCAGAAAAGATGTCGCATCACGCTCCCACCTCGCGCCCGAAGCCCCCTCCCCCGGGCAGCGAGGAGGCATCGTCCATCCTCAACCTCGGTGAATTCCAACACGTCGACACGCTCACATTGTCCGAAGCATCACTCGTCATCAACGCGCTCGTGACCAAGCGCAAGATGGATCGCAAGAACATTAACGAGACCGAGTACGTCCAATGCACAATGGCGACTTGCTCTTTGAGCGATGCCCTTCGTCACCACACTTCTTTGTGCCTTCTCAGACTGCTGACAATTTCTTTCTCTCTCTGTGTAGGATGTTGACACAGACTCTCAACTACCTGGATGCCTTCTCCCGATTCCGCCAGAAAGAGAATGTCGAGGCCGTCGAGCGACTGCTCTCCGCACACAAGCAGCTCGCCAAGTTTGAGCGTGCACAAATAGGTCCGCGCCCAATCCAGTCCAATGGGTGACTTACTGGATTGTAAGTGATGGAAATGCTAACCGTATTTGTTTCTTTAGGGTCGCTTTGTTGCGAAACGGCCGAAGAAGCCAAGACACTCATTCCGTCCCTACAAGATAAGATCTCCGACGATGATCTCCAAATACTCCTCGATGAGATCAGCAAGCTTCAAAGCAGATGACGGGCTTGACCTCAAGACACATTGCACCACAGCTTGGCGGGCGGGGCAGAGACCGGAGAGTTGGGGTGTCAGGAGCTGGGCATTCCCAATAAAGTCACCCTTGCTCCATCGCTCATGACGCTGTTCCGCAGTTGGAAATGAGGAAGTGAGCATGGCCAATGGTTTTAGGGCAAGGAAAGAGAAAATGGAATGGCTATGGAAGTGCTTCTGCGCAAGAAGCATATACTGCATGTTTGGCGTAAATCGGAAGGGGATCAGATTGTCTTTAAGTATGTGTTGAATACCAAATACCCATGAATTCGGCAAACGGGGTTCATATCCATACTCCTAAAACGATGCAATAGTCTTCAGAGGTAGTTGTTTAAGGCGTTCACTGATCACTAATGGACCTAGAGTAGGCACTGGTCATAGTAGCATGGTGAGTTGAATTCTTCATTTTCTTCATTGAAGGGAGTAGAGATAACTATTAATAGGCCTAGCTATGGTCGACCTTTTGATCTCAATCTCCAATCCCATTTCCATTTGTTGCATTTCCATTTGAACCATCCCAATTGTGCGTTGAATTTACTCTGACAAGAACCAGCAAGATCAGGCAATCGCGTATCCGAAAAGCAAGCCTGGGTATCGTCAACGCCTGACAGAAGCCGAAAACCGAAAACCGAAACCATTTCCTTTCCTCTCCTCAGAACCAGAACCAAACCCCAAGATTTCAAGCAGTATCGGCTGACTTGCTTTCAGGCAGCAGGATCCCACTTTGACCAACTAGTCACGTATCTACCCTCAGAACGCTCATGTTCCGTGGCGTTCAGGGTACCGGTGAGGTAGCTGGGAGTGGTCTCCGCCACAGGGTAGAGTGAGCCACCGTCGGGGCGGTACGGTTTGTACTTCTGCAAGCCGCTACGACTGCTGTGGATCTCGACAACCTTTGGCAGACCAGGAGAAGCCAGTTCAGCAATGGCTGCTTGCTGAGGGGGGCCATGGAGCTCAGGGGTAGCAGTACCCAGCCGAGACATATAGTCCGGGGTTGTCATGCGGGACGTGAAGTCAGGAGTGGAATTGGCCGTGCGATAGCCCACGTCGGGAGTTGTTGTTGCGGTGCGAGACAAGAAGTCGGGGCTGGCTGTCGTAGCTCTGAATGTGCCAGGTGACATCGCAGGAGAAGGAATCGGCGGCGGCGCCATCCGTATAGACATCGAATCGCGGGTATCGGGACTAACCGGGTGATTCATCATGCGACTGGCACTCATATCATTAACTCGGTTGAAGCGAGTTTGAGGCTCTTCGTAGCGTCCTGATTAGTTGTCAGCTTCCTTTCTCTTAGACAATGGTGGATAGTAGAAAGCAGCTTACTTCCATAGGGAGAAAAGACCTCCTCAGGACAGAACGGATTGGTAGTCATGGCCGGCTGGCTGGTCTCGTCCTCTGAGCTGTGCTTGCGTCCGTCTTTGCCAATGGAGCTGATGGACTCTCGAGAAGCTCTGGGCTTTTTTCTCTGCTTGGTGCACAGAAAGTAGGCGGCGATGACCATACAGATCACCACCAAAGCAGAAACGGCGATGCCAGCCTGCGCAGCGACCGGGAGGTCATGTTGATCAGACTTGACCGCCAAGGCAGGAGCCGAAGCGTCGATGGCCTGGGTCTCGACAGGGGCCGTTGGGGTGTAAGTGTGGGGAGAAACATAGAACGGAGTTCCGGTGGAATCATCGGAGGCGATGGTAGAAGCTGGAGAACCACGATCGTCAGTGAGCCAAATACCTCCGGTTGCGGTCGGCTCGGGCGAGCTGAAGGTGGTAGTCGGATTGTCAGAGGAGGTCGAAGCCTGAGCCTTCTTGTCAGTGGTAGCGGAGGATGCCTTCGACGAGGATGAGGTGGGGGAGACCAAGACCGGCGCGGCGACAGATGCGATGGTCTTCTGGGCCTGAAGCTCAGTCGCAGTCAAGTAAGGGTTGTACTCGTCTGGGCATCTGGTAGTCTCACAAGGGTTCACCTCACAGCAACCCTCGAAGCCAGAGCAGGTGTAGTGGTATGAACCGATCGGGCATACCTTCGCCTCTCTCGCGGGAATGAAGCCGCCCATGATGGCGGATTATTTTCCTTCTCGAACAGATCAACCGGTATCGTGATAAGCAAAGGAAACCTTTGACACAGTCAATGGGTCAATAAGTTGTGTGCCACCATCGAAACAGTGGCTGCGATGACGATGGTGATGGTAATGGCGAAGGATGAGGCAAAATGGAGGTGTGATAAATGAGCGACGATGAGAAACTTTGGAGTAGGTAACAAGACGGAATTCCTTCAAAGTGAATCAGCGAAGGAGAGAAATGTCGCACTGCCAACTCAGTAGTGATAGGTAAGTGAACAGGCTGGAGTAGTTTTTCCGAGGCAAGGTGGAGGACGGGAAGGAGCTTTCAACGGGCGGTGGGTTGTTGTCGGTCTGTCACTTGGGATGGAAGGAAGGCAGGGACGGTTGTGTGACCGGCCTCATCTCGTGCCTGCCTTACCTTGCCTACCATGAGGTAGCTACCTACCTGCCTGCAACGTACCTTCCTCTTTCATCACACTGGTCTATGTGCTCGGGTGACCCGGTGAATGTTGACCCTTTCCATGCAGTGCTTGAAGGCATTCAAATTCGGACTGACGATCCCGCCAAGGCAGCACTACAGTCCTCGGCTTGCACTTACACGGGAATCTAAGGTGCCCACGTCTCAGACAGAGACGTTCAATAAACGTCATCTTGTACTACAGGACGATTCTGGCCCGTGATTCTTTCATGGCCCTGCCCGCCGCGTTCGGGGGACGACTGCGTTGGTGTTTGCTCGCGGATGAGTGCTTCGCTGGGTATGGGTCGAATGTCGCCCCTCGCGAAAAGACGCAAGGGCCAGAATCACCAGAAGACGGAAACGGAACAGCAACGTCGCACAAGCCCGAATGCCAAATGCATCAGACCCGTTACTTCTGCCACCGCGTCACGGTCCGAGACAGTGGTCGGCATAAACGGGTGGCCCCTAGCCGACGGGAAAGGCTCAGATGCGCGGCTAGATCTCAATCAAGGACGGTTGCGATGGAGAAAACATGTCCCCGCTCGATGGGCGGGCAACGCCCAAAAGCTTTGAATCAAAAACCAGCCAAACCAACTCCATCTATTAATGCCACCACTCCAGCTAAACCTATTGCACGCCATCGACACACCAGGTAGTCAGACTGCCACGCCTGTGTGGGTATTTCAAAACATTGGGAAGAACTTTTGGCTCGCCAGTCCGGTTACGTTTTATACGGTATCGCTTACAACTTCTCCAACAGAAGCTTGCTGCCAAGGTTGCCTACAGGCTTGTCTGCCTTCTTTGCACCCTTTTTGCCCTTCTTTGCGCCCTTCTCGCTATCCTTTTGGGCTCTGGCCTCCTTGGCCTCCTTCTGCTCGGCCGTCTCTTCAGTGGCAGCCTTCTGCAGGTCTTTCTTGTGCTTCTTGAGCGTCTTCTTCAGCTCAGCAGCATGGCTAAAGTCCTCGGCTTCCAACATGTTGAGAACGACAAAGGAACTTGGGCCCGTGGCCCAGTCCACAATATAGTCCTTGATGATCGGGTACAGGATATCGGCGAACTTCAATGGCGGCTCAACGGGCTCGACCTTGCCGGTCTCCTTGTTGAACTTGCCTCCTGCAATAAGCGTCTTGATCAACCGGCCTCCAAATGCTGTCCGCGAGACGTGGACAGGGGTAGGGACACCTTCTACCTCCATGGGCTCCGCGCCAGGGTTGCCCTCAGCGACCGCTGCTACGGCCTCAAGAGCTGCCGTCTTGTCACCCTCCGCAGAGAGCAGCACGTCCGCAACCAGCTGGCAACCGAAAGGGTCTGCGACCAAAGCCGGTGCAGCCTCGACAACGGCAGTGATGAGCGCAGGTGACATAACAGCAACCAACTCTTTCCTTCTTATCTCGGCGTCCTTCTTACTGGTGGTTTGGCGAATTGCATGAACCTCCTTGAGAATCGCAAGGTCGTCGCTCATGTTATCGGAGAAGAGAGCGCGGGTCTGGCCCTCCAACAGATACAGAAGCGTGGCCTTGGCGAAGGGATTTGATGTAGAAACAACGATGTTGTCTGTCGCCTTCTCCTTGTCGTCGCCAATCAGCTCGGGGAAGATGGCCTTTGATGACATCTTCGTGTCATCAATGACATCGAAAGCGGTGAGGATCACAATGTGAGCGTTGGGGTCACCCGACATCAGCACGAAGTTGTCTTTGTATGCCTTGAGCAAGTTTCTGCGGTCCTTGGAGGAACCGTGGGCCAGAAGCAGAGCCACCAAACGGGATCCAGAGCGGGTGAAGGCCATGTTCTTCAGCAAATCACCCTCCTCGTCGTCCTTGATCATCTCAACAAACAGGTTGAAGTTTTCCGTGCCGGGCTCGACATTGAGGAAGTACTGCAACATGGCGTCGTGAAGCATCGTGAAACCAGTCATCTTCTTCTGAACCAGCGAGTTGATCATGTCGTTGAGACTCTTGAGGATGTAGGCTTTTTTGCTGGGGTTCTGCTCGAGGATAGTCGCGAGGTCGGAAGTCGGCTTCTCGTCCTTGCTGCGCTCGAGGAGGGCAAACTCGGGTCCGTACCATTCTCTCAGAAGGATGGCCTTCTGCTCCTTCGTCGCGATTTGTCTGTAGATGTCGTCCAAGATCCATGAAGCCTCGGGGTGGTTGATCAACTTCCGCACCTTACCGTAAAACTCGGGGATGATGAGATCCTTGATCTCGCCGTCGGCCTGCACCACCATCTTGGCGATGAGGAACTTGGCATACCGGCTCTCGGCAAGCTGGGTGTAGGTGCCCTGCAGCTCGCGGGTAATTTGTTTCCGTTGGGTAGCCGTGGCGTACTTGAGGGCGGTCTGAACAGCGCGCGTGGCGTCATGCTTGAGGACGAATTCCTTGACGCGGCCGGTGATGATGGTGAAGAGCTCATCGACTAGCTGCTTCCGCTCCTCGGACGGAACGTGGGACTTCCTCCTCAACCTCTCCCAGATCTTCTTGGTTCGAGCGAGTTCGTCGGCGAGGGGCTTGGCCATCTTGCGCTCCAGGGCGAGCTTCTTTTGAATGGCATGGGACTCTCTCGAGTTTTGACCTGTTGTAAATCCCAGTCAGCACAATCGCAAGCTTGCGCCAGTCAGGCAATCCATCGCCTAGGTTCCTTACCTCTCTCAAAGTTCTTGTTCTTGTCGGCGCCATTGGCGCCATCCTTCTTGTCCTTGGCTTGAGCCTGCTGGGCACGATCGCGAGGGGTGAGCTGGACACCGCCGTCGTCCGAGTCCTCAGAGTCATCCTCGAAACTTCCCTCATCGTCTTCCTCGGGGGTCTCGACGGGTTGGGCCTTCTTCTTCGACTCGACCTTGGCTTTCTTGTTGAATTTGCCGTCGGCAGCACCCTTACCAGCGGCAGGGGCACTCTTTCTCTTGACACCGGTGGAAGCCATTGTGTGGAATTGGCTGGCTGTTGTGGTTGTGGTGGACAGCCGGAATATCGATCGCAAAGTGTGAACGTTTTCTCGGCGTACAAAGAAAGCAGAGCGACTGGACTGCACGGGTGGGAACTTACAGCGGTCGCAATTGCTTAGGGAATTTCTGAAATTTTTATTTGAATTGCCGGGCGGTCAGAACCACGCTAAGCTGGATTCAACTCACCACCCCACCACCGTGCATGTACGTACCTCTCTGCCATCAACGGCCATCTTTGAGCCGCCAGCTACATCTTCAACAGCGTCTTGTAGTAACAAACCAGCAACCAGCGCATTGTCCCAAGCTCCCAGAACGCGCCTCGAAGATACAGACACTCAGAATGGGGCGCGAGGAACAAGTTGAGGAGCGCGAGGTGCTCGAATCCATCTTCCCAGATGAGATCACCGGTACGATTACCCCACCATGCCACCTTGAGCCAGCCCATCCACTAAACCCCGGATCACAGATATCTCAGAGACAGAGTTCAGAATACAAATCGCCCTAGACATCCCCGGCGAAGAGGAGGACCCGCCAACAATGTTCCTTCAGGTCCGATACCCAGACGCATACCCCGACGAGCCACCCACCCTCGACCTGCAATCCGTGCGTGATGCCGCGCCCTACGAGTGGTTCAGCGTGGCGGAGGACAAGGAGCGGCTCCTCCAAGGTCTCGAGGAGACGATTCAGGAGAACCTAGGCATGGCTATGGTCTTCTCCCTCGTATCGGCTCTGAAGGAGGCAGCAGAGATGCTCGTCGAGGAGCGCAAGCAGGAGAAGGAGAAGGAGAAGGAAGAGCGGGCCGCTGCCGCCGAGCGCGAGGAGAACAAGAAGTTCCACGGAACACCCGTGACACCCGAGACGTTCCTCAAGTGGCGCGATGATTTCATCAAGGAGATGAAGGAGTTGAAGGAGAGGGAAGAGGAGGAGCGCCTCGCCGAGTTGAAGAAGGCCAAGGTCAAGGAACCGGTCAAGCTGACGGGCAGACAACTATGGGAGCGTGGCCTCGCTAGTAAGGCTGACTTTGATGACGAGGAAGAAGGGGGGCTGGCGGAGGGTGTCGAGAAGCTCAAGGTTGAGGCGGTATAGCACCCGTCATGAAGGGAAAAACAAATCCAGTGCATTTACTTGGCGTTTTTTTTTTTTTTGGAAATGGGCAATCGAAGAAGAAAATGGTTGCGGTTGTGGCTCTCGAACCTCATCTATATATGCCTCGATGAACGACCCCTCTTGCGGAGAAAGAGGGACCTCATGACTTTTGACAACTTTTCCTAGTACCAAACTCCAAACTCCCAAGTGCCCAGTCGATGAAGAAAACTTCCCAGTGTTCATAACGTTTATCATCAACGTTGTTGTCTTATATGGAGGTGCCAAACCATGCCATGCCGCCATTCACTCTTCCATCGCCTCGCCATCATCACTACCGGCATCTTCCCAACCATCGTCGTACTCCTCATCCTCTGCGCCAGCCGGGGGCTCGCCGAGCTCCTTGTTGATAGAGGCGAACAGCTCCTTGGCGTGCTCGCCCAGCCTCTCGTCCTCGTACTCCTGAGCCTCGTACAGCTTCAAGCAGCGCATCAACCACCGCCGAGCCGTATCCCA